AGAGCTGCAATCTGACATTCAGCTTAAAGAAACATTTGATCATGTCTCTTTACTGGACTTTTATAGGTCCTATCTTCCCAGAAACAAATATCCCTCACTTCACAATCATGCCTTATTCATTTCATCGTTTTTTGGTAGCACCTACCTTTGTGAGCAACTATTTTCAAGAATGAAGCACACTAAGAGTGAAATTAGAACCAAAATACCTGATGAGCACTTTGGGAACTCACTGAGAATTGCAACTCCTTCCATTGAACCAGATACTGATGCATTAGTTTCTCAAATACAATGTCAAATATCCCACTCGTTTTATGTTGCCCTCTTTTCTTTTACTTTTATAATAAAAAATATCAAAAAAAAAATCAGTGAAGTTTTATTACTTAGATATGTTCATTTTCTATATTCCTGATCGCAAACTTGGGATCTGCTCGATGATTTTAAAAGGCTCTCCAAATGGGGCACCGCATAATTAGGATTATTATGTGAGGACTTTTTGCTTATCTGTGGTGGCGGATATCATGAAAATTATGCACAGAACTTTTTTTTGCTCATCAGCTTTTGTTAGTGTTTGTGTATTTAATGTGTGGCCCAAGACAGTTCTTCTTCCAATATGGCCCAGAGAAGCCAAAAGGTTGGACACCCCTGGTGTAGATGTTGGAAAAAATAGGGATGAAGGGGTAATTACTTTTCATTTTGAAATGAATATTTATTTTTTTCCTTCTTGAACTTAAATTTACTACTTTTTGAAATTTACACTTTTTAAAAATTTTGCAGGGCAATTTGCCCATGAAACAAAACAATATTCTTTATATAAGCATGCATATACTATAGTTGTGAAAATAATGTACAAAAAAGCATTATACAATGAGAAATTGTTTATCAGATTCCTCGGAAGTGAAGATGGAGACTCTTCAGCCCATTTCTGAGTGAAGTGGAAGCCGTCATGAAATTGGCCCTTGTCTTTCTCTTATGATGAGGAGACATCTGGAGGCTGTGATCAGGGCTGAAGGATCCACGATTTGATTTGATAGAACTCCGTTCCAGACATATCTTTTAGAAAAGGAGATACGACTCAGGGATGCAATGCATCCTTTTCAAGCAAAGGTCTAAATTTAGTCCTGAACATCTCCACTTAACACAAACCAACATCTGCTCTTAGGAAACATTGGTCCTAGTGCTGTGATAGCTTGCAGGAAATCCAGATGGTTTACCAATAAAGAAGGATGAGGCAAGAAAATTCCGTATTTTCTGCTTTAAGATGAATTTTTTCAGCCAGTTCATCTAATCCAAAGGCTTTTCATCACTTTGTATCATAACCTTCCCCAAGCTGGCAATCTGTACATTTGTTTGTTTATTGCAACATTTTAGACATTGTGTACTTCTATAGATTCAAGGTGATTTACATACAACAAAAATGCAAAATTCACAGCACATTGGAAGCCAAAGCCACTAGCTAATTAATTACCTGGCCGCCCCCATCCCATTAGCTCCTAGACCCCTTGCAGAAGAAGATTCAGAATTCTCTAGGGCTTGGGTATTACTTTAGGAGGCAAGGCATTCTGAAGTGAGGGGATAGTGACCCAAAAGACCTGTCACTGGACCCCCATCTCCTTCACTTCACATGGGGTGCCGGATTCCTAGAAACTATCCCTACAAGAATGATTGGAGCAGCCAAATCTTGTTGAGAGAGATGGTCCCAACATGTGGAAACCAAGCTATGTGGAGCTTGAATGGTAATAACCAGCACTTTGAACTGGACCAGAAGCAAATCAGCAACACATGCAGTGACCATAGCTTAGGTTTTCCATGGCTAAATCTCCTCTCACCAGTTTGATGGGTAGTACACATCTGGAATTTCATCCCTAGTCTCTGGTGAGCCTACTTCCTGCTCTTTGCCCTGAACTAAGTTCCAGGTTTCCCTCATATCACCCCCATTTCAGAACTGACATACTGACACTACTGACCAAAATTTGCTCCCATAGGGAAAAAAGTGATGGAGTGCACTGACTTTTCTGATAGAAGTGTTCATCCCGTGGGGTCAACGTGGAATTCAGAGAATTGCATGCAATGCTCCTGTGGGTGGAAAGAGATGGTCTGCTGCTCCAGGTAGATAAAATATTGGAAATGCTGGTGGATTTCTTGTCTTTTTGTAAGGATTGTGGCTGATTTGGTCCTGGGCCCTGCTCTTTCCAAATTTGGAGAGCAGAGCAAGGAAGTGAAGCAAATAAGAATGTCCATGGAAGTGAGGTCCTCAGAAGCCAACTTCTTAGACATAGCAAGGCCATGAAGCATAAGTGTATATGGATTTCTACCAAAACGGTTGGGATATTCATTGACCATAGGCTTTCTAACATTTAGTACAGGGATGTTACTCATCCCCAAATTAAGGATTCTGTGATCTTTGCTTCATCTGTCCCACTAAGTTTACTGAGCTGCTTGCCAGCTTCTCCTGTTTCTATGTAACTGAGGTATTTTCCTGTTCTTGCTGTTGCTAAGAAATTAGACGTCATCAGTTGCCTTATTTTTAACATTTTAGAATTACAAAATTATAATTATATATTTGGGGCGGTGGTCAACCTTTAAATTATTCGATTGGTTATTTGATTTAAACATCTATACATGATCACTATCGATGCATACAGTCAGCTGCATGTCCTTCTCTTCAACCCCCGGGTATCTTTTTTTATAAATTACTGGTTAGAATTTCTTCTTGGTGGCATCAGATACCAACAGTAAATCAACTGACAGCCAACCTCCTTTAGATTAGGGGGAAAAATATTTATCTGATCATTTCCGTTTTTCAGTTTATTTCCGAACAATTCTCCCATGTTTTCAAACATCCAATTTTTGATGTTGCTGTCACAAAACATGTTGCAATTCTACTTTTTTTGAACTTCTCCTTTCTAAAATAGTGTTATGTTTATTCCTTAGGTATGGTGGCATCAGCGTCATGCAAGGATGTATCACTAAGGAAGACCCAGAAACATGCACCTACAAGTACTACAGGATTGATGATCCTTCCGTCCCATGTTAAATATATGATCAATGTTAGGGACTGACATCAGTAAACCTGATTGGCTCAAAATGTCCTGGCATTTTAAAATGTTTGCCTAAAAATAAAACAGAATAAAGGGGAAATTACCAATAAAACAATAGTGAAAGGAACAAAAGAAAACAATAATAAATTAAAATAAAATCAAGAGAGGATTTGACATCTCAATTGTCAGATTCAGCCGGCGCAGCACGGTGAATGCCGCTGCGCAGCTGCTCAGTTTTGCCTAGTCAATTTCACTGCCTGGGCGCTAGCAGTGGAAAGGGGAAATTAAAACCGCGAGCTGATTGCTGACAGGTGGCAGTGCTTAACTCAAACCGCAAGCGGATACTTTATATCAGCGCCAGCTTCCCTCGAGCGCTGCAGACAAAGGGAAGCTCAGCGACTCAGAAGTGCAGCGATCAGTGCACGATTGAGAACTCCCGGCTTTACGCACAACAGGAAAACCCAACAAAGACAAT